TTACATCACTTAATCCTTCATAGAAATTTTTAAGGATCGGAAATTTAATATGGAAGTTTTTGGGGGTTAATTTTTCGTCCAGCGAATTTTTTGGGTATCGTTGGAAGCCATAGAGATTTTTTTGGTTTTCGATTTTTGCCCCCTTTCGATCAACAGCGTCACTTTATTGCAGAGTCCCAACCTATTTTATTACGTTAATAACACAAAAACACTGTTATAAATGTAATGACTAGTCACACCGATTTTTAGGCATAGTAAGAAAGGCGTAGGTGGGTTGCCCCTTGAATATCCTCGTCCTCATTGCTTTCTACGCATTCAAAATGGTCGCGCAGTTTCTACGCCCGCCAGTTTAAAAGCAGCAAAGGTACTAAGGGCTAGCTGGAAGATGCTGTTTAAAAATCATAAAAATTCGCTTCGTCCGATTTCAGCATTTACAAAGCCTACTAGGATGCCTTAGCCTGAATTTCAACCGCTTTCTTCCCTCGCTAAGTTAATCTCTCCCCGAGTAAATTGCATTGACGAGCAGAGGAGGCTTCTGAAATTCATGTCAAGCTTACCATAGGACCTTTCTATTTTCCTAGGGAAAAGCTTGTTCCTTTACTATTCTATTCGTTTGTGGATAACTAGCAATGATTACAGTTCAGAATATTTCCAAAAATGAACAAACACGGCATAATGAATGTGACCAGCTTGATGAAGTGGAAATAAAAATTGACAGAGGAGCAAGTCTGCGTGGTGCGATTAGAACGGGAAACTGGGGAGGGACTGGTAAAAAACCCCAGGGGAAGTCCGTTTCTTTATATCTTTTACGTCGCCGATTGCTGACACCTGCTACATATGTATAGAGCCTAAAGTGGACTGACTGAATGCGAGATAGTTACAGCTTCGGACCTCTTTGGTAGGTCTCACTAAGTACACGCTCTGTGATTGGTCGACTTCAAGGCCGCGGGGGCTGTACGGTTAAGTCATCTGGTTGCTATTACCCGTAAGTCAACTACAAATCACCCGTTTCCTCGAATAAGCGCCCACGCTCTAGTAAACGCCCTCCTCCGAATAACCCCCTCCCCCCATACGACGAGTTATTTTTGTAACACTTCCCTGGACCTTACACCAATCATAAGCTCTTTAGACACAAAGCCACTGACCACATACGGTGTGTTTAGGGCTCATCTTCATGACCTTTATGCATTGTTCTTTTTAAAATATATCAGCTCTTTTTTTATTGATTTTTTTCGAAAAGAGTGGAATCGTGAGAATGCGTGCTCTTCCACCTACTTATGTAGAGGGTTTCCATGATTTAGAAGCCGTGAAAAAGATGAAGTACCAGCCACTGGGCCGAACAGGAATGGATGTTTCCAAGTTGAGTTTTGGTAAGGTGGTAAGTGAAAGCTTCAACCAGATGCAAAATGCTGAGACATTCTGACGAAAAACCGGCCTTTCTGACTTCAAATCGCAGCTATTTACACATCTGTGAGATATAAAACTCACGCCCTCCCTCCCCTTCATTCAAAGTAGGAGCCCATCAATTGATGAACTCCTGTTCAAAGCTGTTCTTCCAAGTTTTGAACATCGTCTTGTGCGGCTAGTAACCTCGATAGGGAGAGGAGAGGGGCTCACAAGTTTTTCAATGTAGCTTCTCACTTCGGCCCACTAGGGTATTTTTTGGAATCTGTAGATGTAAGAGAATCCTCCCTTCCCCTCCCCACACATCACATCACATCAGATCACATCACACCACATCATCTGTTTTTGTGGCAACATCCCTCCAATGTCATGATGGAGATAAGCTTACAGTGACATGGTGGAAAAGAAAAATGTGTGCAAGTTGAAGCACTGCATGACAAGCCTGTAGCTGTGTCTTCTCTGATGGGGAAATTTCCACTAGACTTTGGTATTATTGTGCATGCATGTTGTGCAAATATCGGGGGGGGGGGGTAGGGGGGAGTACTGCCATACATACAATCATGTTTTTCATTTGGGCTGTATAGGTATGACTGCTGTGAAGGGTATGGTTTGAAGCAGCTTACTCTGGGATAGGGTATATAAATCAGAGCGTTTCGGTCTAGAATAGGGTATCATTTTCGTGGAAACTGATTAGTTGGTTGAAGATTTTAGTCTTGCGAATTGCCGCTCAAGAATATAAAAATATCAAATTGGTTTTGTTTTGACTGGATTGTGCTAGTGACCCCAGTAGTTTCTGATAATAGCTACTCTAGGATAGTTTAGGCTAGTATAGGGTAGCAAAATTCACTTGAACTAGTTCTGTTAGGCTCAGGATTCCAGGGTCCCAGTGGCACATCCCCTCCCAAAAATTCCTTAAGTACCCCCCTCACCCCGGGTGGAAAATGAATTTGTAATATTCATTGACATGTGGACATTGACTTCTGCTTCCTTTTTTGCACTAGCTATAATTCGTGAATTACAGGTGCATGTATGTTCAATGTATTTAAATGAAATTTTCTGAGTGTAACCCACTCAATGAGATGCATAATAATTATTTTATTTATCATGTCAGGAGCGTCATCACTTGGAAGTGTTTTCCGAGAAACCAATGAGCTGGAATCTATTAAAGTTGTTCACCATGCAATAAAAAGTGGTATCAACTATATTGACGTAGCCCCTTGGTATGGGCATGGTAAAGCTGAAACTGTCTTGGGAAAGGTAAATATTAAAATAATATATTGTTATTATTTTCCACACATTTTGTATAAAATATGATGTGACTATTCCCACAATTTTTGAAAAAATGTTGAAAAAAATAAAGAGGACGCATTCCAAACAAGTTGCTCATTAAGTAATGTTATAAATCATTCTAATCATTCCAGCTAATAGTGACATGGTGTAAACTGGTCACAGTTTTTTCCACTTTGGGGTTACTCAGAAAATAAACATCATTCTGTTTCTTTGAATCATCAGTTCTTTAACCATAGAATCCCACTTATTAGAGTATTATGCATTTTTTGTTCCATATTGCAGGCCCTTAAAGATGTACCTCGTCAAGCATATTACATTGCCACAAAGGTAACATTTTCATTGAACAAAATATTCTTGCATCAGATCTAGAGCTAACCATCTATATCTACAAGTTGAAGAGTTGTAATCCAGGGTGTATGCAGGGATGTCACTAAGAGTTGGCTGCCGGCTAATTTGTCTGGCTGAAAAAGAGCTTATTACCTCTTTATATTGGTCTGGAAAACAAAGACATGGTGCAATTTTGAAGGTGCAGTTGAGTTAAAAAACTGTCTTGACTAAGAAAAGAAAACTTGCTTAATAGCTTTTCATTAGTTACACTGTACATCTCAGTGTATGGTTTATAAAATTTGAATTTTGAGTTTGATCATAACTTCTCAAACTCATCAATAATTCATTGCATCCTTAATTTCTCTTGGTAAAATAACTTTGTTTGAGAAGTAATATCTGGTATTCAACCCAGTATTTCATCACCAGATGAAGCACCTCAAAGTTTGTCAAAAATACTCAGACCTGCTGTACATCTTATTTTCAACTCACTTCTCAGTGTTTCATCAGGTGTTGAAACACTACGTCTCATGCTTGATTATTTCATCTTTAATATTGCTAGATCCAAGCGCCCTTGAAATTACTGGTACTCATAACTGAAATATAAAGAAGCCTGCATGATTGTGTCCATTTTGATCTTGGAGTTTACATGAAACAAATGCATGTTTTTTTTAAAATTAATTTTCATTGACATTTCTAACCTGCTCAGCTTTCTCTTTGTTTTAACCTGTTTGTAACTCAAATTTTCTAAGTGCAACAGAGGGAAAATATCACTGAAGCAATGCTACTGTACCTTGCAGTTTTTTAAGAAATCCATTTTTGAACTTAAAACAACGAAATCTGACCATAAAAATTGCCAAAGTGCAAAATCACAGGATGATGAAAAAATGGGAAATAAGTTATCATCATCCATACATTTAAGGATGACTACATTTCATCTTGTAGGTTTGCCGATATGAACCTGAAGTTCAAAAGATGTTTGATTTTTCAGCTGAAAGAACTTTGCAAAGTGTGGATGAAAGCTTAAGTCATCTTGGACTTGATTACATTGATGTCATTCAGGTAATTTAAAAAAGCCTTTTATGAAGGATGACGTAGCCAGCCAGCGTAATAGTGTCGGTTGATTGTGTTTTTCGTGGGTGTTACAAATTGCCTTGTTTTTTTTATCTTTCCCATATCCTGTGCGCATCCCGAAAAATTGTGCAATTTTTTTTGGCTGCAACTTTGAATCACATGCAAACTAAAAGAACAAGGAAGAGTAATAATTAAGAACTCACAAGAGGAACCACACACAAAACAATGACCACGGAAGAAAGGATCAGAACTTTGAAAACCAGGGGAATTACAACATGCTTTGAAAGTGATTTTAAAGTGGAGAACCACAACAACTATAAAACCTACATACAAACTACTTGTGGGAGGACTAGGGTACCCAGAGAAAACAAAAGATCCAACTAAAGAGAAATAGAAGAATCTGAAAAAAACAAACAAACAAACAAACAAACTGTGGAGATAGTGATGTCAGCTGCCGTTACACTGGACATGAGCTGTGAGGAACTTGCCCTATGATATCCTAAGCAAGGACAGTTGTCAGTAAATAACACGGTAGTATTAATATACAATAACCTCATTTAATCTTTGTCATTTAGGTTCATGACATGGAGTTTGCACCTTCCTTGGATATTGTCATCAATGAAACTTTACCTGCCCTGCAGAAGGTAAATGTAACCTTGGTTCTTGAAGTGGCAATAATTTTATGTAAATGCATTGTTATTACCCACCTCCATGCAAAAGGAATCTTATCATGTTGATGAAGAGACTTTGTTTAAAAATTATTAATTTTTGTATATGTTTTTGATTGTTGCCATTATTCGGGCAAACTTCTTTCTCGATCAAGCAGTTTTAATAATGAAAAATTAATCTTTTTTATCGCTGGTCATTGTAGGATAGTGGTTAAGGCTTATAGCATGTGCACTGTGGCAAACTAAATCACCGTCACATGAAAAAGAACCTAAGATAAATTATGGTTACCAGAAATACATAGTTTAGGTCAGTTTTAACTCACATTTTGGTGCTGATTGGAGTTTGATATTGATTTCTCTAGTTAAAGGATAGTGGCAAAGTAAAATTTATTGGAATCACAGGTTACCCTTTAGAAAACTTTCGGTAAGTACCTATCATTATTATTAAACATAATCATTCACCTTTTTTGGGGGAAAACTTTGTGGTTTTTGCTAAGATGTATGCAGCATTGTACTCCTTGCATGGAAAGTTGGCTGGGTTTGAAGCTTTCCGATACCTTCTTGTAGTTCATAATTTGAATTTGTAGCATACATTGCCGTAATGCTGTCAAGTGCTGGACAGGTGCAGTTTTGATACTGAACTGATGTCTTGTTTCTTACCCTGGCCAGTTTCTGTCTTTATTCCAAAAACATTAGGTCCTGAGGAGATGTTGATTTTATCTATAATTAATGTATTTTTTCAACCTCGTTCAGGGAAGGGTAGGAGAGGATCCTGAGGCTGTATTTGTTTTCTTAATGCTTGTTTATAATGTAGTTGTTGAATAATTGCCTGACATGAAAACTTTGCTTTTTTGGCAGTCTTTCTAATACACCCAAAAGTTTACTAATCAGTCCCAAAGTCACATTATGTCAAACTTTGCCTGCTTAATAGTTGAGTTTTGAATTCATCAAAGCCAAGCGCCAAAGACTCATTTTGTACATTGTTAGCCTCGACCTGAATTAAAATATTCACAAATACCAGCGAGAAGGTGCCAGAATTTGAGTTTATAGGAATAGACACAATTGTACACAGGTCTTCTTCTGTGTGGAATTTGTGAATATATCTCCCTTAGGTTGAGGCTAAACTGTATAAATGAGTCTTCAGTCTTTCTATTTAGCGGCCGCGACGTCAAACGAATTTGAAACTGGGCTATTTACACTTGCTGCAAAAATTCTGCCTGCTTGATGGTACCTTAGTTATCCAGGGAAGACTGTGAAATAAACCATGTGCTCTGGGTGTTTGGGGACCCTGTGGCTGATAGCTACATGTACAGCAGTGTTGTTTGAAAGTCTTGTGGTCTATTTTACTTCATATACTATTGATACATCTTTCTTTTAAAGCCCCAAGAACGTTTAACTGGGGCAAGAGCTTAATAAAGAGTGACTGAAGGTCTTAGGGAATCAGTATTTTAAAAGTATTAGTTTCAAGGAAAGACAAACAAAGGTTAAAGAAACAGCTAAAGTAATGTTTAGGTTATTTTTTATTTTATGTTGGATTGGATTATAATTATTCAGGCAGTGATTTTCTGACATGGAGATTGCCTAAAACATTTTCCTGATCATTATTTTGCGACTTTTGTTTTTTTGTTATGGGAAAAGGTGGGAGAAAAGGAGGGGCTAAATAACTTTTAATAATACTTGTAGGTGATTAATTATAGGTAATCAAGGCATCAATGATGCGGATGTGTTTTTTTTTTAAATTTTACAGAACAGTTCTGGAGAAAAGTACAATTCATATTGACACCGTGTTAACGTATTGTCGCTGCACAATGCATGACACAGGATTGCTGGATTACATGCAGTTTTTTAAAGTAAGAATAAATAAATAATTAAATAACCATGTGTTTTAAAGCCTGGTTCCCATATGCTGCCGAGCTACCGGCGACATAGCTGCTGGTACTGCCTGGAATACTGTTCTGATATAAGAACAGAAGTGGCTGGCAACCAAGGCCAAGTGAGTCTCTACCGCCGGCATACCTGTGAGGTTGACTTGAGTTTGACTTTGTAGGCATGCTAGTGGTAAAGACCTGTGACGTCTCTTGTTGCCGACAGTGTTATGTCCTGGTATGTTCGTAGGCAGTACCATCAACTACATCACAGGTACTTTGGTGGCATATGAGAAGTTACCAGGCTTAAGAGTCACTTAACTAGGGGAAGTCTTGAAACTAATTATTATTGAATCAGTAGTGTTATTGACAAATGCACTTTGTGTATGCTGTACAGTAGAAAATTGTGTTTATCCCCTGTACATGTAAGTTGCTTTTTGTTTGAGCAGTATTAAAAGCAATTGCAAATAGTGAAGTTTTGATGTAAGTTCTGTTTAACTTTACCAGAAATTCCTTCCATAATTCTTTTGCTGTTGTGCAAGTAACATTAAGATGGAAGGAAAAGCATTTTGTCTTCAGCAATTTTATTTTCTAGCCTGAGAACAGAGAAATCAGGTGATCAACATTTCGTGGCAGGGGTATTTTGCAGAACGCAGAATGCTAAAATGCAGAATGCCAAATGACTCTAAAGTTTAGTGATTAGGCCTTGAGTGAATCAGGTTCCATTTAGGGTCATTATACTGGGAAAACTGACCTGAAGCTTGATTCACTCAGTTTCCTACCCCTGATCACCAAACGTCAGAGTCATTCGGCTTTCAGCATTCTGCAAAATACCCCTGCGAAACATTTCATGACCACTGGTTTCCCCATGAAATGATATCTGAGGAACGATTGCAGAAATTCCATATTAATGATTTGTCATGACCCAGATCCGGGTAGCGCGTCTTATTTGTCATGCTGCAAGGAAAATTTGTTTCAGGAAATCAAAAACACTACCCAGATCTGGGCAGTGACACATCATTAGTGCACTCATTCCTCAGACATCAGTTTCCAGGGAAACCTGTAGTGTTTTCGCAAAATGTTGGCTGTTTAGTCAGGCTATTTGTTTTTAAGATGCAATTGATCCTTATTCTGTCTAATAATTCACTCATGGGGAAAGACATTAATTACCTAGCCTGCGAGCAAGCTCTGGCGGTGGGGCGGGAAAAAGAAGGAGAGCTTGTAACCACGCCTCTAGAATTTGAATATCTGCATTGAAAAAGTTGATGCGAAATGCCGATTGGCGGAGATGACATAAATAATGATGTCATTACCATTGGCACGCATTCACACTTGTTTCTACTTTGCGCTGATGGCAGAAATCTGGCAGCTCAGTCGACGGGGAGGCCCAGGGAAATATTGGAGGTGGAATTCAAATTCCAGAGACAAAGTTGCAGGCTCTACTTCCTTCTCCCGCCCTGCCGCCAGAGTGCCCCAGAGAGCTTGCTCACAGGCTAAACATTTATTATACCAAAATAATTTCATTTTACTTATGCAGTACTGTTATTTTGTAACAACAGATGTTTTAGTAGGTTTTTTTTCAAGTTGCAAATGCATCTTTGGGTTGGTTAATACGTTGACATAATTATTGAAAAAATATGTTGGCAGTTTACAATGTTGAGTGCTATTCTTTTGTGGCTTAGGAGCATGGAGTAGGTGTTGTGAATGCCTCCCCAATATCCATGGGATTGCTTTCTAGTCGTGGTCCACCTGCTTGGCATCCAGCCAGTGAAACTATTCGCAGTAAATGCAAGGAAGCTGCAGAGTTTTGCCAGGTTTGTGATAAAACTAAGATAATAACAAAGATTTTTGAGATCCAGTTATCAATCTAAAATCAGGGTTAAAATAAAAACTTAAATTCCAGCTTGTTCTTTGGGCAAGTAGCTCTGACATTTCTCTTGACTGGTGCCACTTTGTCCTCATCTTCTAAAGTTAGCTATTTTATGACAGGATGTTTTTTCTGCATCCTCACCCATTGGGTAATAATGCTTTAAAAGTTACTTGCCCAGCAAGAAAATCTACTTAGTTCATACTGGACAACCAGACGAACTTTTTTTTTTATAGCTCTGCTATAATAATTATGTTTCTATCACACCTAATATATAACAAGACTCTTCATCTAATGACTTTAATTTATAAGTGACCCTCAAATAAATGTCAAATTGTCCTTTTGTTTCACAAGCAAATATAAAACAACCTGGAGGGAGAATCTTGAAGTGTATTGGATGTTTTTGCCAGGAAAAGGCTTCCAGAGAACTTCTTAAAGTTCACCTATTTTTTTGTTGTCTTTAATCCGTAAATATGTGTAAAACATGCAGTGCTATCTTAAATTTAAACTTGTCAAAAATCCTGCAAAATCTTTTTTCATCTTCAAAACAGAAATTTCCTTCCCAAAATGTCTGCCTCATCACGCGACCAAATTAACAAGAGTGATGTAGAATGATTTGTAAGAATGTAGAATAATTAACAAGATGGCAGCAAATACAAAGGATTGTTGTTGTTGACAACTCCTGGCCAGTCCTCTGTTTAATATAATAATGAATTTAATGTCTTTCAGGCTGAAGGTGTTGATATCTCCAAACTTGCCCTTTATTTTACCTTGGACGTAAACAATATTCCCACCACCCTTGTTAGTACTGCAAGCATTGGAAACCTTCAAAAGAACATTGATGCAGTTAGCCAGAAGTTAACAAATTCAGAGAGAACCCTTTTGGAGTACATTATGGACTTGTATGTGACTTTTGACAATCTTTATAATATTTAGGGATCAGTATTTACAGTGCGACTAGGTACTGTAACCGGGGCCACAAGTTGACCAATCGAATTACAGGAAAATAACAAACATTATACATTCGGAGAAAGTTAGTTGTCAATCATAATTCCCATGAAACGAAATAAACAACATGGATCGAAATCAACCAATCACAACCTACAGATGTGACCTTCTGAACCCACCGAGAAAGCCCATGTTTCCCGAGAGGTCTGTCAGAGTGAGTGACAGAAGTGAAAATTTAAATGTTAGGGTAATAAGATTTTGGGAAACACTTTTGTGGCACAATTTACGCCTCCCGTATAAACCCAACATTTTTCCCTATGAAGTAACTGTAAACATTGGGTTTAAGGGGATATGGGCAGGAAGTCTAGCAAAGACTTAAAAAATAGAATATTTACCAGGAGTACATCTATCCTCTAGCCATTCACAGTTCACCAATTGAAAGATTTGCGAATTTTTTTTACAAAGCGAAAAAAGTGCCATTCCGTCGGAGTGACTTTTCTAGCATTTTCCCACAACCTTTTGTTTAATTATAAACATTTTCCTCTGCAGTTTTTTCAGAACAAGTGGCAATCTTTCATGGGAAGGTGTTGAAGTTAGAAAATACTGGCAAAAGATGAAACAACTCCAACCTGATATGGTTCCAGAACAGCACCGATGAGTAGAATTTCTAGAACTTTGAATGTGGGAAAATGTTTTCCTGGCTTGTTAATCAGCCAGGTATTGTTAATAATAATAATATCGAAAATTATATTTCCAAGAGGTAATAAAGTGAGAGTTTGTCCAGGAATGAAAGCAAAAATGAGGGGAAAAAGGTATTGAGAGCAGTGTAGCTTTCATTTGAATGGTCACACCACAGACCTTTGTGCACATGTACAAACTCAAATGTAAGAATCACAGTCATGTACATGCATGTCTTTAAAGGCATTTACCAGTATGGAAGAAGACAATACTAAAAGATTTGAAGGGTTTTATTAAAAAATGCATCTGCTATTCAATGGTACCTAGATCAATAAATAACTTTCAAATTATATAAATATACCAAACATTGTTTACTGAGATATTGTATTCAGCTGGTGCAGAAGTCCTCACCTGAGTAAGTACATGTAAGACAGGTCTAAAAAACACTGCATGTACAGCAAAATCACATCTGTTAGCAGAGTAATACATGTAGTTATGTAGAAAAGAACTACCTGTATTAAATGTGACTCTTTGTGGAGTCATGTGGGTTAGCAGGCATGCATTGTCCAAAGTCCTTAGAGTCAGCAAACAAAAGAGTGCATGAAGCCCTAAACTGACTTTTGATCTCATGTCAGGTTCTCCCCGCGTTTCACATTATTACACAAAATAAACTGGGGGAAGAATTTAGACATTCATCAAAAGTTACTTTGAGCTAGGTTTTTTCCACACACCCCTTTATATGAGGCTTTCCTTGTCAATAATATCTAATAAAAACTGTGTAGCATTTTGCAAAGATCAGTAATTTAAAATTAAGTGAAAATGTTGTTTAGGCTGCTATTCATGTCACTTAAACTTACTTGCTGCCCTTTCAGGGTGAGCAAAGTGAACTGCTCAAAAAGGATGCTACTTTTGAAAATGTCAGATTGCCCATTATGTTAACCCCCAGGACAGTATAGCATCATAAATAATGTTAAATTTTACTTTATTTCAGTCAGGCTTTCCTTGTCATCCTTCACCCGTGATCAGGGGTCTTTATTGTTGGGAGGGGCCCCTCCTTTCCATAGGCAGCAATTTCATACTCAGTGATCAGCAACCCTGATTTGCTAATAAGGGGGTGAACCTTCAAAGTTTTTCCTTCTCCTTCCTTTTGAAGTAGTATGGAGTTGTGATCCCATGTCTGTCATATCCGGTTGAGTTCTTTTCCGTGGGCTGTCACATCAAGCCAATCCACTGTTTTGTAGTCAAAGATATCCGGTCTTCTTAGTTCCTCCAACTTGTCGCGATCTGAGCACCATGGTAGCTGTTGAGCTATCCTGTCCATCAGAGCACTCTTTGCTGAACGTCCTCTCTTGTATGGCTGGTTATAAAAATGATTTAATGTGATGTGAACATCAGGGTTCATACTTTAATACAAAAATATTTAGAAGTATTCATCCCAGTAGAGATGTAACTTACTGCATGCGGTATCGAAGTCAAGGTCACTGGACAGGTGATAACAGTGATAATAATGATGATAATCTGATGGTGATGGCGATGATGTGTTCTTGATGGTTGAAGAGGTTGAGTGTTTTCCTAATCGAATGAAGTTTATGGCATGCTCAAGGAAAGAGACATTCTATAGCTTAGAAGTTTGATCCCTTTAATATTAAAGGTTTTATGCAAGAACCAGTAGATAACAAGGTACCATTATTAGGTGGTTCCAGAAAACACTGGTATCTATCCATTATGCAACAGTCAATTCCAGCTGCACCCAGCCCCCCTCCCCTCCTGGGCCACTGTGGGGCATTTGCCCACCTTGTCAGTCCTGGGGGCATTTGCAAATTTTGCACTGCCCGGGGGCCAGGCATTTGCCAACCCTGGGGCCATTCCCAAGCTTTTGACACGCACATGGTTTCTTATCAGAATATAACTACACAGAAGGTTTTACTGGCAAAAAAGGAGATTGGCTCATCTGTCAAGGACAGGAATAAATTGAAGAGGGTTGTAAAGGCATGTTCTCGAATTTGGTGCAGCTGGAATTAACTGATGCTTTACCTTGCAATGGAAAGTCTTGCACAGCTATTTTTAATGGCGAAGACCCCACTCCACCCCTCCCTGCCCAGGGGAGTGTGTTAAAAATGGTCAGCCTTTCAGAACCTCATTAAAAACAGTTATCGATGTGGCCCAATCAAAATCAATCTGCAGTCAGCTTGCAGCCAGTGTACCTACCCCTTTTGTCAAGATAAGTGATGATTCCCATTCTGGATCTCTCTCTTTGTAAGTTATCATCTGTTTTCTGTAGCCATCTTTAGAATTCAAGAAGTCCTGGTCTTTGTAGGCTAGATGATAAAAAAAAAATAATAATGAAATTAATTTTTGTTGAAATATTTAAAATTTAAGAAA